GGTCTATAATATAATTTTTTATTCAATTTAATTTTGGGACTCCCCTTTGTACATGCGCTTGTGCTTAGAACATATACAATGTATGATAGTGCAAATTATTGCAATGTTTACTAGTTTCTAATGTTTATTGATATTTACATACGTTAAGGATTTAATGTAAACTAAAATTTTACCTATACATATAATCCCTACACATCCTTAAAACAAAAAAATCATTGCCGCAGTGTTGCTTAACGTTTTTATTGTATTTTTTTCTTAAATCTGTAATACCGCAAGGTGCGCGATGCAGTGAAAGTGTTTTTTTTTTTTGATGGAGCTTCACTATCTTCGCTCATGTTTGGACAACGAACAAATTCATCGTCGTAAAGTGACTTAAGTGCGGTCTGACTGATTCCAGTCACTCGCGCGAGTTCGTGAGGTTTTGCTGCCCAGTTGTCGGACTCCTGTTCCTCGCGTTCGCAGCTGGTTTACTATTCGATTGTTTCGCGTCGTCGTCGATCGCAACGGTAGTGAGCTGCGTCGCGACGAAAAGTTGGCGTCAATTCAAAAATCGCCACCACATTCGAATGGCGGGGCGTTTCGCGACCAGACGCGATAGGGGTGTATTTTCTACTACGGTCCGTCGTTTAGAGAGCCCGTTGCGGCGCTAGCGGGTCCCGAAAATCGGCAAAAGTATCGCGAAAGTACATGTGCTCGCCCGCGATTGAGCAAGGATTTGCACACAACTCACGTGTTTACATGTCAGGGATTTGTTGTTATGTTCTTGTTCATGTTTATGCGATTTTTCTCGTAAACGAATAGCGCACGGCCGATTCATGGACCGCAGTGTGTTCTTTCTTGTTATTGTTGTGTCTCCTCGATACAAGTAACAAACAAAAATACCCCCCGTCGAGTGGCATGTAATTTTTCTTGCAAACAAGGACGACTGTTTTCGGTAAGTTTTCTTTTTTTAATTATAATTGTTTTTCTATCGATATAAACGTAAATAGATTGATATTACATGTTGCGATACCCAATGAAAAGTTTTGAAAACTTTTTTAACTTGTATTAATTTGTATTACCTATATATGTATATAAGATTAATTGTTTACTTGAATACATTTAATCATGTTAAAATATACCTGTGAAAATTTCAATGGTTAATTATAGTTATGCATTGATTTTATTGTTGTACGGTACCCTTGAAAAAGGTGTAAAATAATTAGATGATCTGTGGGACGACGCGACCCAGTTTATGTAAATTTAAAACAAAACGTTAGTCAAAATAATTATCGAATTAAAAAAAGTCGTATAATCGAATATATGTATATACNTGAACATCGATATGTTTAGAAAGAAATTTTCTGCAACTGTCTGTAGATGTATATATATATAATACGAAGTATTGTTACTTGCTTATCAAAAATGACATATTTCTTATTATCCTTATGCACCATTATGTAAATGGGAACGTGCAAATGGTTTAAGGCGATCATAAATTGATAGTAAATAGGAGGAGTGAATGGTACCGCCTATAAATTAATATAGGTAACAATGCCTAACACAGCAAATCCTTTAGTAATTGGTACTATTGAGAAAAGTGTACATTTATTGAAAAGCAACAAATGTACTCGGCAAATAGTTGAATAATAAGAAGAAAAAATATACGATTCTTTTGAAAAGATTGCCTCGTGTACCTTATCACATGTGATGATTACGGTACGGAGGCTCATGTTGGATCATCTTGATTAGAAGAAAGACGTTAAATAGTCAAGAATTTCAAGTATGTACTTCCGCGTTAAAGAAATATTGAGACGGTGACTTACATTTTCATTTTAACATTCAATCCGAAGCAACGTAATCCTTTTTATAGATTACGTAAAAGGAGCATTCAGATTCCCTCTTTCACAAGCTATTATGCCTAACTATTATCGTCTATCAATCAGGCCCATCTTTTAAACTAGGCATTTGGGCAAGTGTCCGCAATCGACGGGGGCCCCCTAGATTTTGTCAGATCCATCCACCAACCGAAAACCAATATTTATTACCGACCAATATACTTATTTTGAGGAAATCGACTATTAATTACAAAACAAAATTGGAAACACATTTAAAAGTATAAAGTGCATCGAGAATCTTTTAAACATGATGATAACTTACGGCATTGAGGCGAGCTCTATTTCAAAATTAGAAAGAATACAAAATTAATTAAGAAGTACAACGCTCCTCTGAAAGATTGACCAGTATTTCGCTAATTTCTATAGAATGTGTTGTGCTCAAGGACGTAGACTTCGAAAAACTGTTTGGCGATTTTGCTTTTATCAAAATTTTTCAATAAACATAGAATTTTAAGCAGTAACCTATTAAAGCTAAAGGAGTTACTGTTCCGAATTATATTACAATTATCTTTTCATTTATTGTGATTGTAAAGAAACAAAAATAATTGTTCAATAAATTTAGAATTTTGGCTATTTTAACGAAATAGTCCTTTTTCAAAGTCATAAAGACTCCGTTATCCTTATGTGCCCAGGGCCTACAATGGGTTAAAGACGGTCCTGCTATCAATATATTCTACATTAATTATAAAAGGATAAACTGACTGATTAATACAGTATTCAGCTTCAACCGCTGGATCTAGAAACTTTTCGCAGAGGATTATTTCCAATCATTCTACATAATAGAATTAAATATTAGGCAGTTTTTTATGACTTTATAAATAAAAAAAATTTTTCGAATGATCATTTTTCAAAATTCAAATCACAGTTCTAAACTGTAGGTACGGTAAGAAATGGGTGATGCGATCAGGGTGGAAGTGAAGAGAGATGTTTACAAACTTTTAATCTCCTTATCTCACGATTGTCACTGCATAAAATTCATGTATCAATATTAAAAGAAGAAATAGCTATACATACGCCACATTACCCTATGATGTATGCTGTATTAAAAAGGAAATGTGTCTCCCCTGCCTCAAATATAATCATTGAACCCTCAGAAATGACCAGAAATGGATGAAAAAATTTTTGGAGCGATTTTGGACTGGAGCCCCATTCTGGACAATTACCCTAGCGTAAACTAAAATTGAAAAGTGTACCTACAGCTCCTATATAATCCTTTCTGAAAAAAATTCTGACACTTTTGATCACTTACCTGTGTTGTCTTTTTCTCCTCAAACCTCATCCAGCCATTCCACTGTTCCTAACGGAATAGTAAAGAGGATCTTCCGCCCTTGTCTCTGGCTTTGCACCAGAGTGTAGATCGGAGGTATTGCCTGGTCATCTGTATCAGTATCTAGTGGGAAACTAAACACGTAAATAGATATGATAAGACCTTGTTAATTACTTTTTAGTGGAAGCAATTTTTGTTGAGTAAGTTTTTGGTTAATTATTTCGTCGAAACAATCTACTGATGCGTCCCTTAGGGTAACACAAAACCTAAATACTTATACCTGATTTATTACATACCTACATATTTCTTCTAAGGTATAAGCACTTCATAAAAGTGGCTTTATCAGAAGTTATGTTACGGATTATGTAATACAAGAATTAACTACATATATGACGTGAAATAATTATAATCAAACAACTCATAAAAAAGCTTTTAGAAAAGATCGATTCTAGGTTTAAGCTAAAGTTAAGTCAAGTTATAAGAAAAGTCTTTAATGGTTTTTGGTTGGCGTTGCAGGTAGTTACCTACTCTACTTTGTAGATTTTTAAGTACTTTGGAAGCCGTTGTACAAGTTTCACTATTAACGACGTACACAATAGGTTTTAAAAGCAGTAAAAATATCATAAAACAAGAACGACCTTGAAATTATTTTTATTTTAAATCTCCGTACAGTTATTTTCTATTAAAATGTTAAAAGTAGAAAAAGGGGACTGTGATATATAATAATTAATTAAAAAATTAAAAAGAAGACTCACCTCTAATTACCACGAAAACTTTTTGAGCGGGCACGTGTTTCGCCCACTTCATACGTGGGCATTATCAACGCGAGACTGATAACGCCCACGTATGAAGTGGGAATTAGAGGTGTCTTCTTTTTAATTTTATAATTAATTAGACCCAATTAAATTTAAACGTATTCCTATTAAATATTTTAATTTG